TGCAAAAAGTGGCCACACACACACACACACACACCTGTCTCTTATACACATCTAGATGTTTGATAGTCTGTGACTCATCCTATTTCTAGCTGCATAAGCCCAAAACTTAGAACTGCTGGAGCTATATTTATAGATCGTTATTAAATGCTTTTTCTTTGACTCTCTACTTTTTTCTTTGATAAAAGTTCCGGTGATTTTATGGTACTTACAAATTGTAACTTAACAATTGTAACATGCGAATTATGAGCATTGAAGCATCACAACCACATCCTTTAACCATAGCTCCGAGCGGTTGACTTTATATTTTACGATTTTGACTCCCTTCAGTCAGCCCACAGCATCTAAAGTTAGCAGAGGCGTTCGAAGGTGTCCAACCATTTCTAAGAAGTGCGCATCTTGCAACTTTAGTTCCATACCTTTTCGTTGCTTTTTCGTAATCTGCCAAAGGCAATTGGTCCCACCAATAAGTGGCACCATTAAGTACCTCTTGGCTATCTCCGACTTGCACTTTGAGGGTTTCCCTTATAGCTGTCTCTTATACACATCTAGATGTGTATAAGAGACAGATCTAATCCTTCCGAAGATTGCTGATTTCAAGTTTCGAAGTTTATCAACCTATCTTCGGATAAATATAAGATAAGTTTTTCTCAAAGCGTTTTCTTGTTGCTATATTGTTTATGCAGTCCGATCTCTTGCAGCATGAAAGCTCGATTTAGAAGAGAAGTGTCTGGGTCGGTAAACACAGCCTCTATAAGGAAGCATCGTATCAAAGCTGATTGACTTCGCCGGGTCCCGAAGTATGGTACTACCGGTACTAGATTCTAGAGGAGGAAAATTCATTAAACTACCTGGTTGGTCCCGGATCGAAATGCGGGAATATTAATGATAGACGGAAGACACATCTCCAGGATTTTAGACGTGCGTACTCGTAGAAGTCCTGCCATTGACTCTGACCACAATTTTGTGGTCTCTGTGCAGTAAAAAATACACATCGACAAACTCAAGAAAGCTGCCACGTCGATAATTTGCAATTACAACAGACAGCCGAACGAGTTTCTGCTCGACTTGTACTAGTGTTCCCTGACCAGCAATTCAGTAAAAGGAAACTGAGGGACGGCATTTCAAGCTCCTTACGTACAGCTGCCCACAAAACCATTGGTTTTCAGAAAATCCAAAATGACAATACAACCGATGAGGAGTGCCGTGTCGCAGTGGAGAGAAAACATACTGCCCAGACAAGCTAGATGTGTATAAGAGACAGGCTCTGAGTGTGTCTTATAAACTTCAGATTATTGATCA